GTTCGAAAAGGCTAATCTCTGGATCAATAGTTGCTGCCTCGCATGAATCAATAGGAGCTGCCTCGCATAGATCAATAGTTGCTGCCTCGCATGGATCAATAGGAGCTGCCTCGCATAGATCAATAGTTGCTGCCTCGCATAGATCAATAGTTGCTGCCTCGCATGGATCAATAGGAGCTGCCTCGCATAGATCAATAGTTGCTGCCTCGCATGGATCAATAGTTGCTGCCTCGCATAGATCAATAGTTGCTGCCTCGCATGGATCAATAGGAGCTGCCTCGCATGGATCAATAGGAGCTGCCTCGCATGGATCAATAGGAGCTGCCTCGCATGGATCAATAGGAGATGCCTCGTTGGGGGCCAATATATAACCTCTACAGTTTCTTCTGTTCAAACATTCTCGCCGTTCTCATGCTGTTAGTGAAGACAGGACCCAGTGATCACAGTGCCTGTGACCAGCGTCAAGATGTAAGTGGTTCAGCCTTACCAGTAGCCCAAGAGCCGAGGCCGCGCTAATCAGTCTGTAGAAGCGGCAATATTGTGGCGCCTTTAACCTCGCTGAAGAACGGGAACTTCGACGCTGAGTTCGATAGCATCGAATTCGTGGTGGTGTAGTGTGAGGACAGGTGGGAGGGCTGGAGAAGAGCAGGTCGGGGCGGCAGCACCCTGCAGCCCCCTCTAAGACATCCATCACCGGGAGCCCGTGTGTGTATGTGTGTGTGTGTGTGTGTGTGTGTGTGTGTGTGTGTGTGTGTGTGTGTGTGTGTGTGTGTGTGTGTGTGTGTGCGTGTGTGTGTGTGTGCGTGTGTGTGTGTGTGTGGGTGTGTGTGTGTGTGTGTGTGTGTGTGTGTGTATGTGTGTGTGTGTGTGTGTGGGTGTGTGTGTGTGTGTGTGTGTGTGTGTGTGTGTGTGTGTGTGTGTGTGTGTGTGTGTGTGTGTGTGTGTGTGTGTGTGTGTGTAGCGGAGGCATTAAAGACCATAAATAATGCCGTGGGTGCCAGTGTGCGGTTCAGGTGACAAATGAGGCTTAGTGGGCATACGAGCCAGGCTAATGGGGGGCCATGCTTCAAGGTCAAATGCTACAGGTATGAACTACCTCCAACCACCCGAAGTACTTTTTACTGTTGGCAGTTTGATCACTTATTTTTTGCAGTTCGATCGAGAGCCTCTCAGTCGATATCATTGACACGCCGGTGATCGGTCTAAATAGAGAGAAGGAGGGGGGAGGGGGGGGGGGAGTGCCGGCTTAGCAGGGTGGTCGGTATAGAGACGGGGCGGTGTATAGCGACATAACTGATCACCAGTATTCACGCAGAACCCCAGTCACTGCTGACGTCTGAGCCGCCAGGGGTCAGGGCTTTGGCTCCCTCCTGTTGATGGACTGAGCCTCAGGTGGCAGGGGGGGGTGGCAGGCAGGGTGGCAGGCAGGGTGGCAGGCTAGGTGGCAGGGTGGCAGGCAGGGTGGCAGGCTAGGTGGCAGGGTGGCAGGGAGGGTGGCAGGCAGGGTGGCAGGGAGGGTGGCAGGCAGGGTGGCAGGGTGGCAGGCAGGGTGGCAGGCTAGGTGGCAGGGTGGCAGGGAGGGTGGCAGGCAGGGTGGCAGGGAGGGTGGCAGGCAGGGTGGCAGGGTGGCAGGCAGGGTGGCAGGCTAGGTGGCAGGGTGGCAGGGAGGGTGGCAGGCAGGGTGGCAGGGAGGGTGGCAGGCAGGGTGGCAGGCATGGTGGTAGGCAGGGTTGCAGGCATGGTGACAGGCAGGGTGGCAGGGAGGGTGGCAGGGAGGGTGGCAGGGAGGGTGGCAGGCATGGTGGCAGGCAGGGTTGCAGGCATGGTGGCAGGCAGGGTGGCAGGGAGGGTGGCAGGCAGGGTGGCAGGCATGGTGGCAGGGAGGGTGGCCGGCAGGGTGGCAGAAGGTGGAAGAGGGGTGGCAGATAGTGGCAGAGGGTGGCAAAGGGTGATACTGAGGGGCAGAGGGGCAGTAAAAGAGGGCAGAGGGTGACAAAAGATGGAATAGCATGGCAGGTAGTGGAAGAGAGTGGCAGGGGGTGGCAGGGGGAGAAGTGAGAGAAGCGTTTCATTTAGCAAATTTTCTACATTTATTTAGTTGTGGTAATATCGAAGAAATTGTTTACGAGAGCTGTCCATCCTCTCCCGGGCTGCTCTAGATCTCTCCTCCTCCACCTTGAAGGACAACTCCAGGAAAAACAAGCTCGAGAGATGGTCCGTAACGGCCTTATTCTCCTTAACTGGTGACTCCTTCAGACATCAGACATCCCTGGGGAGCCGCTCGGCTGAGCGGACAGCACGCGGGACTTGTGATCCTGTGGTCCTGGGTTCGATCCCAAGCGCCGGCGAGAAACAATGGGCAGAGTTTCTTTCACCCTATGCCCCTGTTACCTAGCAGTAAAATAGATACCTGGGTGTTAGTCAGCTGTCACGGGCTGCTTCCTGGGGGTGGAGGCCTAGTCGAGGACCGGGCCGCGGGGACAGAAAAGCCCCGAAATCATCTCAAGATAACCTCAAGATAACATCTTTTCGGAAGTTCCTGTTCATTGCCCATGTTCTGCCTTGTGTTATCTCTTAAGATTGTACCACTCTGACTTAAGGTTCAGATCACACTGGCGTCTCGCTGTGGTCACAAGGGCCTCGAGAACTGTCTTACCTTTCTCCTCCTCAGACGGAATGAAATTCCACAGATGTTTTTACACTTTTCAATAAGAAATGTATAACATTGTGGTAAGGGAGAGAAAATAAACATTTATGAACTTGTGGGTTAATCAGGCGATGTGTTAAAGGAACAAGACGCAGGTGAAGTCTGATTGGTTGGCACTACCAAGGTTTCAGTGATTACAAGGCACACCTTTCATATACAAAGATTTGGAGTGTGTCCATAACGTCAGATGTCTGGAATACTTCAGCAAAACATCGCAGGTGCTGCCCTCAGAGCACCATAAACATCGCGGGTGCTGCCCTCAGAGCACCATAAACATCGCGGGTGCTGCCCTCAGAGCACCATAAACATCGCAGGTGCTGCCCTCAGAGCACCATAAACATCGCAGGTGCTGCCCTCAGAGCACCATAAACATCGTGGGTGCTGCCCTCAGAGCACCATAAACATCGCGGGTGCTGCCCTCAGAGCACCATAAACATCGCAGGTGCTGCCCTCAGAGCACCAAAAACATCGCGGGTGCTGCCCTCAGAGCACCATAAACATCGCGGGTGATGCCCTCAGAGCACCATAAACATCGCAGGTGCTGCCCTCAGAGCACCATAAACATCGCGGGTGCTGCCCTCAGAGCACCATAAACACCGGACACACACACGACCCCCACTCCCAATACTCAACATCAACAAGGAGTCCCACTTGGAATATCACAACCTGGAATGTAAACATTCCAGAGGTTTAATGTTGTTGGCTGGATTAACTGATGGGATTGATTCATAATTACAGGTTGTAGGGGGGAGGGGGGGGTAGAAATTGCCTATGCTACTCTTTCCCTTTGAGATGTATTTTTTTCTTGTCTCAATAAACATAATTGAACTTACAGATTGAAGAACCTCAATTTCCCCGAGGTAGGAGGACAGAGTTTAAACAGTAGATAGTATAACAATGTGCAAGAAATTAAGGGTACAAGAGAGTTGATAAAGCGGCCACACTCAAAATGAGAAAGAGTTGAACTAGAGAAGAGAAGCTGGAGAGAGATAGATGAACCAGCTGTCAGGGAGAACTTCTTTAGGGCAAAAGTTGCAGACAAATAGAATGAGTTAGAAGAAGAGATTGTGAAGGCAATTTCAATCAGCAATTTCCAAAGAAAACACGAGAACGAATAAAAGAAATCGAACTGAATTAACTGAAAAAAATGGCTGGAAAGACAGAGCTTAAGAGATGGAGCTCGACCCAACCAGCACGTCTAGGTGATAACATACACCACAACCAACTTTAAACACACAGGCACGCAAACACACAAACATGGGGCCTCGTAGCCTGGTGGATAGCGCGCAGAACTCGTAATTCTGTGGCGCGGGTTCGATTCCCGCACGAGGTAGAAACAAATGGGCAAAATTTCTTTCACCCTGAATGTCCCTGTTATCTAGCAGTAAATAGGTACCTGGGAGTTAGTCAGCTGTCAGGGGCTGCTTCCTGGGGTGTGTGTGTGTGGGGGGGGGTGAAAAAAAAGTAGTTAGTAAATAGTTGATTGACAGTTGAGAGGGGCACCGAAAGAGCAAAACTCAGCCCCCCGCAAACACAACTATGTGAATACACAACTAGGTGAATACACACACATGGGAATCCCTCACTCCGTTCGACGAGACGGGACAGAGGAGATATGATCACAACGTACAAAATTCTCAGAGACAACGTGGGAATAACCCAAATGTTTATATTAAACAGGTGAAGGCCGAGGGGACATGGCTGGGCAATTAAAATGTTAAATTAGCCACAGGACTGTAAGAGAGCAGTTCTTGGGTATAAATAATGAGCCCACAAGCTGATGTTCGCCCTGAAAGCACGTATAGGCAAGCTGCTCAATGGAACCTCAAAGTAATTTCTAACATGTGATCATCGGCCACCTGAATAAGACAGGTGTTGACGAGGGGCGAGCCAACCCTTGGCCAGGGTGCCAGGGTGCCCTGGTGAACCTTGGGCTCAGCGGGGCACATCACCGTGCCTACAGTGCGTGTCTTATGGACCATTAACCACACACCAGCGACAGACAGTCGTCACCGTTCAGGGAACCACTGGAAGAGAAACTGACGGCCTGAAATGCCTCCGACGGGAGGAGACGAGGTTAGTACGAGGATCAGGTACGGTGTAAGGGGGGGGGGGTCAGGCACGGTGTAAGGAAGGGGGTCAGGCACGGTGTAAGGAAGGGGGTCAGGCACGGTGTAAGGAAGGGGGTCAGGCACGCTGTAAGGAGGAGGGGGTAACGGAAGAGCTGAGCGACAAGGCAAGAGACGACCACGTCACGCGGAGAATCTCAACGACTTCAAAACGAAGACGGAAAATGCCTGAGGACGTTGGTGGAGAACCACCTCAAGACGTTGGTGGAGAACCACCTCAAGACGTTGGTGGAGAACCACCTCAAGACGTTGGTGGAGAACCACCTCAAGACGTTGGTGGAGAACCACCTCAAGACGTTGGTGGAGAACCACCTCAAGACGTTGGTGGAGAACCACTTCAAAACGTTGGTGGAGAACCACCTCAAGACGTTGGTGGAGAACCACCTCAAGACGTTGGTGGAGAACCACCTCAAGACGTTGGTGGTGAACCACTTCAAGACGTTGGTGGAGAACCACTTCAAGACGTTGGTGGAGAACCACCTCAAGACGTTGGTGGAGAACCACCTCAAGACGTTGGTGGAGAACCACTTCAAAACGTTGGTGGAGAACCACCTCAAGACGTTGGTGGAGAACCACTTCAAGACGTTGGTGGAGAACCACCTAAAGACGTTGGTGGAGAACCACTTCAAGACGTTGGTGGAGAACCACCTCAAGACGTTGGTGGAGAACCACTTCAAGACGTTGGTGGAGAACCACCTCAAGACGTTGGTGGAGAACCACCTCAAGACGTTGGTGGAGAACCAACTCAAGACGTTGGTGGAGAACCACCTCAAGACGTTGGTGGAGAACCAACTCAAGACGTTGGTGGAGAACCACCTCAAGACGTTGGTGGAGAACCACCTTAAGACGTTGGTGGAGAACCACCTCAAGACGTTGGACGAGGACAAGAAGTCTGAGCATTTATAACGCATTAAGAACAATAACGACCCAACAACGAGGACGAAAGGAGACCTGCGGACGATGATTTAAGACAACCCAATAACGAGGAGTTAAGACAACCTGACATAGATGGTCAGAGACAACTTGAAGACCAAAGACGACCCTCAGACGACCTGTAGAATGAAGGGAAGAGAGTTTGGTCAATAGCTGCTGGTCTGAGGTGTGGAATGGACCTCGTATAGCATAGTTCTTTCACGGAACCTGATTCTTCCTCCCTCCTTCTCTCATCCTTGCTCCTTCCCTCCCTCTCCTTGCTTCCCTCTCCGTTCCTCCATCCCTCTCCCTCCCACCAATGAAGACATTCAACCCTCCTCCATCGTCTTCTACTTCACAAGTACATCTTCTTGAGGTTATCTTGAGATGATAGTGTCTTTACACTATCATCTGTATAGTGTATTTATTAAACACTGATGCTTTAGTGTCCCCGCGGTCCGGTCCTCGACCAGGCCTCCACCCCCAGGAAGCAGCCCGTGACAGCTGACTAACACCCAGGTACCTATTTTACTGCTAGGTAACAGGGGCATAGGGTGAAAGAAACTCTGCCCATTGTTTCTCGCCGGCGCCTGGGATCGAACCCAGGAACACAGGATCACAAGTGCAGCGTGCTGTCCGCTCGGCCGACCGGCTCCTTACACCATAAGCAAAGCTTCAACTCTCCGCTGTTACCTTCACTTGTCGCTACGTTCCCCTAAGCTGGTCGTGCTGGGGAACGGCTGAGCTGTGTCCAGAGAACTTTAATAAACGCAGAACGAACGTAAAAGTCAAAATCTAAATTAATGAGTTAAAAAGGTTTTATCCCGTGTATTACTAATGTAAATATTGTACTAAGCAGCTTTTCACCTTTTGTTTAAATGTTTCGTTTCCTGCGGAAGATGAGAGTGAATTTAACAAATTAACTTCATTATCGTGAGTAAGTTAGACTCAATTACAAGTGTTAGGGAAGTCAAAAGCTTGTATTAAATGATATATATGTGTCATGTGTCATCGAGGGTTACCATGTGTCAAGGGGTTACACGTGCCTCTCGACCTCTGGGGTAGTGGTGATTAAACTTAAAAGTTATATTCTTTGTGAACTTCTCAACACTATATGTACACGTGTTGACACCATGAACACTGTGCCCGTGGTGACACTATAAAACATTCTGCGATGCTGGCAAGATTGTGTTAGTGATGTCGGACGCTCCGTTGTCAGCAGCAGCCGGAGCAGAGAGGACTCTTGTGTCGATGTCCTGAACTACTGGCAAAGGCGTTCGGACACCGCGCAGGTGTCCGAACAGAGTGAGAGAGAGGGAGAGAGAGCCATGACACGTGTCGTCTGTGACACGGACAACGATACTTCTCCACTATCCTCCTCAGTGACTGAGCAGCGAGGGAGCAGGAACCGAACAGGGAGTCGTAACTTGTCACAATTTGTTAGTAGCCTCAGAAATTTACCTAAAAGAGGTGCATATGTGTGTCGACCGGCATGATGGGCATTGTGTAATATGTAGCAGCATTTAAGCATTACAGGGCGCAGTAGTTACATAGGGTGCGAGTAAGCCTTTTGGAGTCTTACAAAATGCACAGCTTCAGTATACCAACCTAAGGATGAACAGTGTGAAACACAGCGGAGGAAGATAGTGTGCTGCTGGTCGTTCATCAGGATGGAAGAGCCTATAAAACGCCCTTCTCTCTCACTCCTTCCATCTTTCTTTTTTCCCTCCATCATTCCACCTTCTCTCACCCTCCCTCCTGTCACCCTCCTGTCACCCTCCCTCCCTCCCTCCCTCCTGTGTAGTATGACACACAGCTGAAAAGTTGACTTTAATCGATACTAACTTTCCCATGATCTAGATCAATTCTAGCTGTTGCGATGCTTCTGGAGTCCCTCCACTGTTGCGATGCTTCTGGAGTCCCTCCACTGTTGCGATGCTTCTGGAGTCCCTCCACTGTTGCGATGCTTCTGGAGTCCCTCCACTGTTGCGATGCTTCTCGAGTCCCTCCACTGTTGCGATGCTTCTCGAGTCCCTCCACTGTTGCGATGCTTCTGGAGTCCCTCCACTGTTGCGATGCTTCTGGAGTCCCTCCACTGTTGCGATGCTTCTGGAGTCCCTCCACTGTTGCGATGCTTCTCGAGTCCCTCCACTGTTGCGATGCTTCTCGAGTCCCTCCACTGTTGCGATGCTTCTGGAGTCCCTCCACTGTTGCGATGCTTCTGGAGTCCCTCCACTGTTGCGATGCTTCTCGAATCCCTCCACTGTTGCGATGCTTCTCGAGTCCCTCCACTGTTGCGATGCTTCTGGAGTCCATCCACTGTTGCGATGCTTCTGGAGTCCATCCACTGTTGCGATGCTTCTGGAGTCCATCCACTGTTGCGATGCTTCTGGAGTCCATCCACTGTTGCGATGCTTCTGGAGTCCATCCACTGTTGCGATGCTTCTGGAGTCCATCCACTGTTGCGATGCTTCTGGAGTCCATCCACTGTTGCGATGCTTCTGGAGTCCATCCACTGTTGCGATGCTTCTGGAGTCCATCCACTGTTGCGATGCTTCTGGAGTCCATCCACTGTTGCGATGCTTCTGGAGTCCATCCACTGTTGCGATGCTTCTGGAGTCCATCCACTGTTGCGATGCTTCTGGAGTCCATCCACTGTTGCGATGCTTCTGGAGTCCATCCACTGTTGCGATGCTTCTGGAGTCCATCCACTGTTGCGATGCTTCTGGAGTCCATCCACTGTTGCGATGCTTCTGGAGTCCATCCACTGTTGCGATGCTTCTGGAGTCCATCCACTGTTGCGGTGCTTCTCGAGTCCATCCACTGTTGCGATGCTTCTCGAGTCTCTCCACTGTTGCGATGCTTCTCGAGTCCATCCACTGTTGCGGTGCTTCTCGAGTCCATCCACTGTTGCGGTGCTTCTCGAGTCCATCCACTGTTGCGATGCTTCTCGAGTCCATCCACTGTTGCGATGCTTCTCGAGTCCCTCCACTGTTGCGATGCTTCTCGAGTCCATCCACTGTTGCGGTGCTTCTCGAGTTCATCCACTGTTGCGATGCTTCTCGAGTCCCTCCACTGTTGCGATGCTTCTCGAGTCCATCCACTGTTGCGATGCTTCTCGAGTCCATCCACTGTTGCGATGCTTCTGGAGTCCATCCACTGTTGTGATGCTTCTCGAGTCCATCCACTGTTGCGATGCTTCTGGAGTCCATCCACTGTTGTGATGCTTCTCGAGTCCATCCACTGTTGCGATGCTTTTGGAGTCCATCCACTGTTGCGATGCTTCTCGAGTCCATCCACTGTTGCTATACAAATAAAACCATAGCACCAGATACTAATATAGGCTGTATCTTAAAGAAAGATCCTGTCCTCTGGTATATTCACAATAGAGTCCAAGTCCATAAACCTTTGAAACGAACACAATTCCTCCTCTCCCTCAGTCAGACGGCAGACAGCACAGTCCGCAAAGTCCATCTGGTCTAGAATTACAAATGGACAATCAACCATAATACTTGTTAGAAGCGAATCTCTCCATCAGTGGATGGGGCCCTCGCAATCACAATCAATCAGTGGCAGTTCTAATTTGATGATTCCTTCTGCTGCCGCAATCCATTTCATCAACTGGCTATCCCGGGTGTGTGTGTAGTGGCGACTGAACGGTTGCTGCTTCCGCTGCTGCTGCTGCTGCTGCTGCTTCCACTGCTACTGCTGCTTCCGCTGCTGCTGCTTCCGCTGCTACTGCTGCTGCTGCTGCTTCCGCTGCTGCTACTGCTGCTGCTGCTGCTGCTGCTACTGCTGCTGCTGCTGCTGCTGCTGCTGCTGCTTCCGCTGCTGCTACTGCTGCTGCTGCTGCTGCTGCTGCTTCCGCTGCTGCTACTGCTGCTGCTGCTTCCGCTGCTGCTGCTGCTGCTGCTGCTGCTACTGCTACTGCTTCCGCTGCTGCTGCTTCCGCTGCTACTGCTTCCGCTGCTGCTGCTGCTGCTCTTGGGCTCAAGCTGCCTGAATGTTGCTGTGAAGTTGTATAAACTGAGTATGTTGTGATATAGTAAGGGGAAACTAGGAGGGCTTGTGTGCTTTAGTGTGTGTGTGTGTGTGTGTGTGTACGCGTGTGTGTGTGTGTGTGTGTGTGTACGTGTGTGTGTGTGTGTGTGTGTGTGTGCACGCACGTGTTTAGGAGACAAATGTTATCATTTATCTATACTCAGGCAACACGTGGTATATTAAGAGTTAATTATCCTGGCAGCGAGTGTGTAATTTCATACCTTGGCGCGATCAGCTGAACTACCGGACACAACCACAATATCCCTAAAAATGCATTGCCTGGTAATTACCCAATTCGTGTAAGGAAACAATTAAATTCGTATAATGAAACAATTCAGTTGGTGCTCCTCGCGATTTCGGAGTCATTACTGATTTAATTACGCGGGATTTGCATCACGCTTTTTTCGGAATGATATAAGTGCGTTGGATTACAGAGGGGGAAGTTGTACCGTGTGTTGGAGATCAACGCTACCAAGATTTTATAAGTGCATGGAAACCCCTACACACACACACACACACACACACACACACACACACACACACACACACACACACACACACACACACACACACACACACACACACACACACACACACACACTCGCCTGGGTGTGAATGACCCGCCACAGACTGTAGGCTCCTCACACAATGCCTGCTGATGATGCACACACTAAGGATTACACTGTTAGTTATCCCCCAAAGAGCAACACGAGGAGTAATGACAAGCGCTTTTGCTTCTGTTATATAATTTTCTCTCGATTTTAGAACCGTCTGACTTAGTACAAACAACAAGACCATAAAAGATTCCGTCATTTCTACACACATATATACAGGCCATCACCGGAGATATTCTGACCAGGAAAGTCACACAGTCGACAATGGAAGATTAGAT